ATATGCATATCAGGTAAATAACGGGTCAATAAAGATATATTCTGTTATTTAACCTTTATTCATATATTCGACCTGTGTTCGCTATTAATAACACTGTTTATATCTATTACCAAATAGTAAAAAATTTATAATTAAATATAGGTCCTATTACAGATAATGATAAACACAAATAATAACAACACACACAAAATTCTATTATACAAGCATAAACAAACCCAAGTTAGACAGATTTAATATCTAGATTAAGTAGTCTAATGTATATATTTGGTGAACAATTAAACTATAACAAATAGCTAAATAACTATAGTCAAACCTCCCTAAATGCTACCTTTCTAAATACATATCTATATAAAATTTCTCTAAATACATATCTTTTTTTTGGTCTAACTTAATATAACACTTATAGATTTTTACCTTCCTAAATGCATAACCTCTCTAAATACATGTTTTTAAAATTTTTTACTATGGTCCCAATGATATGCACTTAGAGAGGGTTGGCTGTATATCAAATATAATCATGCCCAGAACAAATATATAACATAGACTAGAGATTAAGACCTATTTAGCTAAAATTTAGATTTGAAATAAATTAGTATTAGCTATAGCTTTATTCTCTTTTCTATAGAAAGTTAATATATCATTTACAAGAAATTGTAAATCATATTTCATATAAAATAAAGAAATGAAAAACAAACTTTTATTTTTAATCAATATATAATCAAGTTAATAACTAATTTTAATCTGAGTGATTTAACCTAGGTGATTTCATCTAGGTGATATCACCTGATGTCATAACCTGCTTTAATTAGATAATTTATCAATTTTATTATTTATTAATTTATTTGAATTTCAAATTGCTAATTATTTACTTTTCTTCTTTTTTACATGTAGCACATTTTCACTTCTAGCCATCAAAGTTTGCTTAATACTTATGGAACCTGTGAACGATTTTCACTATACTTCGCCATTTTCTTATCACAACACTAAGGATCAATATACTTTGCCACTTTCTTATTTTGAAACAGAGAATATGTCAAACGTGCCATCGTCGTTCTATTTTGGCATCTATAATCACGACTTACCAGCAGCTCCTTATTTTAATACTGACAAACACGATATCAATATCGAAGAACACGATATTGCAGATGCCTTATCAACTTCCTTTAACACCTACAAATGTGATACTGCAAATTCTTTGTCGCCACCATATTTTAATACCTATAATAGCAATAAAAACGTTTGGTTGATATCGAACCATTAATATAATCAAAATCTAACAACTTCATCATCATCAACGTCTCATTTTAATGCCAATAATATTAACAATATGTTTGTTGAATCAGATATCGAAAGTCAACTAGAAGATGCGGATAATGGAGTTTATAGTGATGAAAAGGAGAGTAATGAGTATAAAAATAAGGATGAACAAGGCAGTGATTTATTAGTACTAAACACAGAAATAGATTTTGGAACATGGGAACTTGCCAAATTATACCTTAATAATTATGCAAAACAGGAAGAGTTCAGTTTTTGCAAAAAAAGGTGCACCACAGATACCAAAGACAATACTGTTATAAGAAGGCGAACATATGAATGTTTATATACAAGAGTACACAAACCTCAAAAAGTTATTCTGGCAGAAAATAGAAGAAATAGGGATTCTCAAATGATTGGATATTTGTGACATGTCAATTTGGCATTTTCTAAGAAAGCAAAAAACATTCAAATTAATAGCATTGTAGGTAAACACAATCATGACATGAACCCTCGGGTTGTAGAAACGGCACCTAAGTATTGAAAACTAACCTATGAAATGCTTGATAAAATCAAGTTTTGGACTATCAATAGGAAACTAGGCCTAACAACACAATATAATTTGTTAGTCACATTATTTCCAGGAAAAGTAATCAATAAGAAAGATCTAAGCAATGCAATTCAACAGTTTAAAGGTCAAGCTAAGCCTAGTAAAAATGATGCATGTAATATGCTTGATAACTTATTTTCAGAAAAGGAAAAAGATCTAATGTGAATTGTAAAACCACATTTTGACTCTGAAGAAAGATGACTTAACTCTTTATTCTGGATAGGTCCTGATCAAATTTGCGCTTACAAATACTATTATGATGTTGTAATAGTTGATACAACATCCAAAACTAATCAGTTTGACATGATATTAATGTTAGTTATAGTCATCGATAATAATTTTAGAAACTTGATAGTAGCATAGTATTAGCAATTTTAGAAGATGAAACTGAATCAACTTTCACTTGGGTTCTTTAGCAGTTAAAAAGTTTATGTGAAATCATACCTATGGTATTATATTATGACACAGATCCTGCTTTACTATTGGCTGTATGAAGAAATTATCCAGACATATGCCATCTGCATTGTATATTCCACATCGACTTAAATCTAAGGAAAAAACTTAAAGGGGTGTTATATAAACAATTTGAATCTTTTCGTGCTGAATTTCTGGAGATATGTAATTCCTTATATCATAAAAATTTTGAGATTAAGTGGGAAATGCTTGTTAATAAATACCCTGAATGCAAAAGCTACCTTTTAAATGTTTTATATTTTTGCAAAACCAGCTGGGCGAGTTATGCTATAAACAGATACTTTACTGCCAGGGTTCAGAGCACCCAAAGAGTTGAAGTAACCAACAAAATTATTAAAGAAAAACTGAACAGAACTTCACGGTTGACTGACATCATTGATGAGATTCAATTAATCAACAATCAAAAAAAGCAATATTAACTGAATGCAAAAATGAAATTCCAATACAAGGAATACTAACTATAATGGATGAATACTTCCCTGATTTAGATAAGATCTTAAAAGAATACCTTACACCTCAAATACTTCAGAAGCAGTGGGATCAAATGGCATATTCAATATGCTACGATGTAGTATTAGTTGAGAATTGGCTGTTGCTTCTAGAAATAAGTACTTCAGGTTATTATTAAACTAAAAATTCTAATCTAATTATTACTTTTTTTTTTGCACTAGACAACAGATGATTCTTATCAAGAAGAAATTGCATGAGAAGACGACTATGATCAGCCTCAGTCGTTATTTTCTTCCTTGCTTGAAGATATATCTCATGATTGTATTCAAGAGATTTGGAAAATAATTAGACATAGAAGACAACAATCAGATCCACAATACATTATTATGCTCAATGACGGCTCTCATTTATGTACATGCCTTTGGCTTGTTAATCGTGGCATTGTATATAGACATTTCTTTTGGGTTATGTCCTATTTAATTCATGCACAATTTCATATCTCGCTTATTTCTAAACACTGGTATGTTAGTAGCAAAATTAATGAACAGGATAATGTATTAACGCCAACATATTAAGTTAGACAATCTGAAACTGTTGAATTACCTCAACCATTATTCCAGCACCTTATAAGATTTAAGCAAACGCCTAATGTTGTACAATTGCATAGTCCCAAACAAAAGTATGGGTTCAGTATGGGCTACGCTAAGAAGGCACTTGACTTGGCTATTTGAATTAACAAAGTTAATGATTTGGTTAATGAATTGAAACATTTTATTGAAAAAACCAAGAATGATATTGATCAAGATCAAGATCAAGATGACGATGATTCAGCAGGTGTTCAAGATCCATTATGGGTACGGCATAAGGGTTGACAACCCAAAAGGTACAAGTCAGGTGGTGAATTGCTGAAGAAAGTAATAGCAGTTGGAAACAAAAAGGGAGAACGACATTGCCAAAAGTGTAAAAAAACTGGTCATTATGCACCATGATGCCCGAATTAAAATAGTATAACAATGCATTATGTAAGCTTAATACTAATTAATTGCCTGTTATAGATTCTATGTATATATATATACGTATGTGTAATGCTTATAAAGTTAAGAGCATCTATAGTATATTGATATGTATAAGCATATAAGTGCAAATAATAAAAAATTAGATCTGGCCTCTTTGTGCTATAAAAACTTGCGCAGCAATATTATTACGATCTAACTCGTCTGCAGTATCTTTAAGTATTTGCAATTTAGTCTGCCATGTAAGTTTACTAAAATATGTAGTATTGTGTATTATTAAGCTTTACTTGGCTAATTTTGCTATAGATATAATTTATTAATATTATTATATATATATATATATTTTTTTTTTGAGTTAAGGAGACCTCTTTGGCTTGAAAGCTTTTATTAGGATTTGAAATAGTGTTTTATACACAATTACAATGATGGTACATTAAGCCACATGTGCACCTTTTGAGTGTCTAATTTAAGTAGTCCGCCCGAAGGTTCTACACTATCTGCCATACCTGCACCCCAACTAG